CCTGGCATCGCTACTAGGAACAAGGACGCTAGTAGGGGCTCCTGGGATCGCTCCTAGGAACAAGGACCGAACATCGAACAATTTGGGACGGTTTTACCGCATTCGGAAAGAGAGAAGACGAAGTCGCCTGTCCTTCAGATGCCAGGCGCTTGGAGCCTTTGTGTTGGAAACGTGATATTCTCATGTTGGACGTGGCAATGGAAGAGCAGCTTCGGACAGCATGTCGTTTGAAGAAAACATACACAGCATGCACAGGATAATGAATTGAGTTTTTATTTCCGGGTTTCAACTTGATTCAACTTACACACTTTGTGGCTTTGGCCAAAACCACCTCGCAGTGCTCCCAGAGTCTGCAGGAGCTTGGCAGAGCGCAGCAACGTTGCCGAGATTCCACGTGACACGGCTCCAAAGCAATCCAAAATACTTGTATGATCATCCCATACATAGCCAGAGCGGCTTTTTCTAGCTGTTGAGGAAATCAGTGGCCCCACATCAACCCCTAGACCGCAGCTCGAAGCATTATGTTGCACAACGAAATGACGTTAGTTAAGCTTCTCAAACACAACCACCTATCTCCAGCGAACTTTCAGCTACCTTGAGCTAAGACCAAGTAGATCAATTGGAGAAGGTAGCAATGGGGAATGGCAAGAGGCCCAACATGTCAATTTACCAGCAAAGACTCCCTTTGTAAAAGGCTCCAGGCTTTAGCCAAACCAGGGCAATATTTTTGCAGATCCCGGACTCACTAGATTTTTGATATTTGCAAACGAGATGGGGCAGCACGACACTCCCACCATGCATTTCAATATGTCTTCCATAAGATGTTGCGAACCGGTCTATGTTTATGAAAAAAAGCTATTGCTATCTCTGAAGTGTTCAAAAATATTTATTTTTAGGAAAAAAATAGGAATAAAATAGGACCCCAAAATAGGAATAAAATAGGGCTGACAACACAAAATAGGAATAAAATAGGGCTGACAACAAGAACAATGGTGAAATTGGAAACAAATAGGATCGAATATTTCAGATTTACCGGAAGGCAGGTGGCTCATTCCGATCAGACGCATGGTCAGACATGGTCAGACACAAGTGAAGGAAGCGGCCACTGGGGCTAGGTCCACCAGACCTAGGTCCACTGGGGCTAGGTCCACCGGGCCTAGGCCTAGGTCCACTGGGGCTAGGTCCGCGAGACCTAGGTCCACGGAGGGCTATTTTTCCTAATTTTTCCTATTTTTCCTATTTTTTTGGCCGGTGTATTTTTTACTATTTTTCCTAATTTTCCTATTTTTTCCTAATTTTTCCTATTTTTCCTAATTTTTCCTATTTTCCTATTTTTTCCTATTTTTAATTTAAAAAATAGGAAGGAAAAAATTAGGAAAAAATAGGTAAAATAGGAATTGAAAATAGGAAAAATAGGACGATTTTCGCACACACCCCCCAAAATAGGAAAAAGTTGGAAAAATTAGGAAAAATAGGCCAGGTCCACCGGGGCTAGGCCTAGGTCCACTGGGGCTAGCGCTAGACCTAGGTCCACCCGGGCTAGGCCTAGGTACCCTGGGGCTAGGTCCGCCAGACCTGGGTCCACTGGGGCTAGGTCCATTTTATGTTCCTGTCCTAGAGTGCTGCCATTCTTTTCCTTTTTTTCCTTTCCTATTTCTAAATCTAGCTCTTTTCTTTTCCTATTTTTGAGACTCATCCTCTTTGTGTCCTTTTTTTTCCTATTTTCAGTTCCTATTTTTTCCTATTTTATTCCTATTATTTTCCTAAAATAACTATTTTAAGGTTTTTCAGACATAGCAGGCAGCTTTATGTCATAAGTCTATGTGACTCCAATCCAACACCCAGCTAGCTAGGTGATGGCCTGCTGACTTTCATCTTCCAAATTCTGGAGGATTTGATGATGTCGCGACATGACCCCTCTCTCCAGCAGGCGAACTGCATGGTGACGCACTTGGCAAACTGTATGTAGTGTGAAGAGGTCAGGCAACGTTAAAAAACATGCAAACGTTGGTCCTTCATTCATCCACGTTTTTGACAACAACCACAACATGTATCCACGTGTATGTGCATGTGGTGAGAACATACCGCACAGACAGCTTTTTAACCTATCCATTTGTGGAACTACAGGCCGCCCATCAATTCGTTGGGAGACATTCAGGATCGTGTTTAGTCGTCTATGTGCCTTGACAGGCGCCACGCAAATCACTAGAGTCAATCTTTTCCAGAGTAAATTGCGAAGAGATTGTTTTGCTGCAACCAAAACACCGGACGAGGTTGAGAAAGAGAAACTGTTGGAAATAGTTTGACCTTTTTACCAGTTCAAAAACCCTTGCGGCATGTTGCTTTCTCTTCACGCCTGAACCATCTGAACCTAAAGCAAGCCCTTCAAGCTTGCTCTGGCTATCAGGGCTATGCTCTCCTGCAGAAGCTCATGCAGCAAAGTCACACGGCAGATTGTGTTGCAATGCCGTTTGTTTATATAATTCGGCAAAGTTAAAACACTCAGACTCTGAGGCAACAAATGGACACCTGAGTGGTGCAAGATGCTCCATGCAGCCTTCGATCGTATAGCTCTCACGTGCACAGCAACAGCCCGCCGCCCAGTTTGGCGGGAAGCGCAGTTCAAATACGTTGGTTTGATTTCTCTCATCATTCTCTCTTCATTCTTTCGTGTTGATTGCAAGCAGTTCCCGGGCAAGCCGGCGGCGGAAGTTTCCTATAAAAACAATTTGACCTATAGGAATGTCCCTTCGCACATGCCCTGCGGACCCCCTTTTTTCCCGGCCCGCAACGATGGCGTCATGCAAGCAGCCCACAACGGCGTAGTCGCTCTGGCACTGTGCGCGCAGTGGCTACTTCTTTTGCTTTTCATCGGTGGTTCACAGCAACGCACCGAAGTCCAAGAGCACAGCCGATGCGTCACCGACTCACCACATCCCTTTTTCTTCACAGTGCAAAAGTCCTGCGCGGTAGCAGCTGTTTATGCGGTTCTCAACGACGGACATAGGAGCATTTCCCGGCTGTCTGCGCTGTCCACAGCGACGCACGCAGACCGATGCCTCTCGGCAAGACCAAGGAACGGTCCACGGAGAGGTGGAACAACTGGCGGCGGGGTTGGTTCTTTAGCTGGCTACACGACGCGGGTCACACCACCGCACGTCGGAGTGAATGTAGTTACACAGGACTCCGAATTCTTAACAATGAATGCAACCAAAGACTGTAAGTATGAACTGTGCCAACAACTTCAACCATAAGTACAAGCTGACCTGTTAACCAAAAAACTCATCTGCAACCAGTGTTGGGCTCGACGTCAAGCAACCAAAACAGCCGCGGAATGAAACTCGAGCGGCAACTCATCCACCAGCAACACTTGCAGTCACATTTACAGTGCGGAAACCATCCAGGAGTTGCAAAACGCAATGGAATTCCATCAACAGCACGTCCACAAGAAACAGGTGAAAGCTCTAGTTACAAGGAAGGAAGGACGATTCGAGCATGATCCGAGAATGATCCGAGCATGACGCGAGGACGTTCCGCAACCGTCGTTCCGCAGAGCTTGACTTGCCAGGTTCGGAGCCACCCTTTGTATTGAAAAACACAGCACTTCGTGCGTCCGCTATCTCTCGAAAACGCACTTTGTACGAGACTTCCTTCCAAAGTGCACGTTGAACTGCAAAACGAAGCCATTCTGCGAGACTTCCTTCCAAAATGCATGTTTAAGAGCTGACTGGAACTAGAGCTAACTAGAGCTAGAGC